GTCCGATGGTTATCCCGATGGTTATCCCGATGGTTATCCCGATGGTTGTCCCGATAGTTGTCCCGATGGTTGTCCCGATGGTCGTCCCCATGGTTGTCCCCATGGTTGTCCCGACGATTGTCCCGATGGTTGTCCCGATGATTGCCTCTATGGTTGGCCCGATGGTTGCCCCGATGGTGCTGTTCCGATGGCGTTGTCCCGCGATGGTTGTCCCCAAGGATATCTCGATGGGCGTCCCGGTGGTTGGCCCGATGGTTGCCCCGACGGTTGCCCCGATGGTTGCCCGATGCTTGTCCCGATGGGTGCCCCGATGGGTGCCCCGATGGTTGTCGCGATGGTTGCCCCGACGGCTGTCCCGATGGCTGCCCCGACGGCTGCCCCGATGGGTGTCCTGGTAGATGCAGAGTGGCAGGTAGACATTAAGATAGATAGGCTGGCATATAGGAAGAGAAAGACAATTCGATAGATAGACAGAAAGATCGGCATATTGCCCCGATGGTTCCACCGATGGTCTCCCCGATAGGCGCCCCGATGAATGCCCCGGATAGAATGCACAGACACCATTAGCACCATCAGCACCATCTTCCGAAGACACGTGCACCCAAGCCGATTCGCCCTGCAGAGGGCTGCCAGCATCGACACCACAACAGTATGTCGCTGGAGAGTGGGCCGCGCCAACTCACGGTGCCAGGCCCTGCCAGCGCCAAGCCAGATCATGGCTCGCGCCTGGGGGTCAGCGCTACCTGCACAGCGCGAACTCGCGCGCTGGGCTCGCAGATATCAGCCCCGCCTTCGCGATGACGGGCGGGCTGTTGTTCGAAGCCCCGGCGCGAGGCACGTCGACTGGAACGCGCCGAAGACCTCGCAGGGGAATATCGGCACGCACGAGCAGGAGAGCAACTGCCTCGTCTACTCAAGGCAAGGCGACCCGACCAGGCCTTTCGAGTTCGAGGCGGCTCGGAAGGCGCCTCGCACAGCAACGGCGACGCTCAAGGACCCGCCGCAGGACATGGACGCGGAGGCATGGCAGATTTCATGCGCAGTTGAAAAAGGTACGAAGCTGCGCCACAGGTCGCGGAGCAGCGCGCGCAGGACAGGCCGGCGCGGCTCGCGCCAGGCACCGCCAGCGCATCTGCCTCACAGAGCACGGCGGCTGACGCGGAGGCCGCGCGGGGTGCCCGGGCCGCGCCCCAGGGCCCAGCAGCGGAGGGCGCGGGCGCGCGCGGCCCTGCGAGCAGGCCGGCGCCACCCGGGGCGGCTGCTCCAGGCTCTCCCAGCCCGGCACGAGGCGCGGGAACAGCGCCGCAGCCGCGCCCGCTGCATCCGCGGGGGGGCGCGCCGCGGCCGGCCTCGCAGGCGAGGCTGCGCGCGCCATTCTTTGCCGCGGCGGCGGCGGCTCCGTCGGCTCCGTCGGCTGCGGCGTCGGCTCCGTCGGATCCGGGGGCGCGCGCCCCGGCGGACGCTGCCCCTCCACTCTCTGCACCGGATGCGGGGCCAGCGTCGGCGCCCTCGCCGCCCTCCCTCGAGGCCGACGCGGAGTCGGTCACGAAGAAAAGTAAGACCGGCGAACCGGGGGCGGAAGCCGCGCGGGGCGCCCGCGCCCCGCCCGCCGCCAGGGCTTGCACAAGTGGCCGCGGCCGCGCCAAGCCCTGCCAGCAAGCCTGCGGCTGCGGAGGCCGCGCGGGGCGCCCTCGCCCCGCCGCGCGAGCCTGCAGAGGAGGCCGCGGCCGCGCCGGGCTCTGCCAGCGAGCCCTCAAGCCCGCTGCAAAACCTGACAGAGACTGCAAGGGCGCCGATGGGCCCGCCTCTGCCACCAAGCCCGCTGGAAGATCTCACGGAGGCGCCGGCGCTGCCAGCGCGCACGCTGCAAGAGCTCACAGAGGCGCTTGCCGCCGACGACTACGGTGGAGACGTCGATGATAGCTGCGCCAACGACGCATCAGAAGAAGTTGCCGTCTTCGAGAGCACCGCGGACTTCGCCAAGGACCTGCAGGGACCAGTCTCTGACAGCACTGCAGCGGACATGCGCGCGGCTGCCGACCACGCCGCGGCGCGCGCGGACGCGCTGCCGCCGCCCCCGCAACTGGGGCGGCAGCCCTGGCGCGAGGAAAGTTCAGAGCTGGCCTAGATGCAGGCCGTCAAGGAGCGGGAGGTCGAACATGCGCGCTTTCGTTGCGTCGCGGCCTGCCCGAAGGACGCGGACGCCCAGGCGGCCCTGCAAGGCGCCGCAGGGGAAGCGGGACGAGGAGGATGGGGAGGGGGCGGCGAGGATGGGGAGGAGAAGGATCGGGAGGACGGCAAAGAGGAGGAGCCGGGGGCGGGGGCAGGAGGAGGCAGGGGGCGGGAGACAGGAGGAAGAGCGGGAGGATGGCGAGCATGATGGTGAGGACGGGGAAACATAGTAGGAGCTGGAAAGAGCAAAAGGGGGGCGAAGGAAGGCGGGGGGCACTCGCGAGGCATGCTGGCCAGAGCTCGGCGGAAGCTCTTCGAATTCGGGGGCGGCAGAAACCTGCTCGAGATGGAGCGGTCGCCAGGCTCTGCCGGCGATGGCGATCAGCAGTTCCTGGTCGCTGCTAACAGGCGCACTTAGTGGGTCACGCAGGGCGGAGACCAGTCTGTGCACCTCCAGGTACAGTGCTCGAAGTTGCTTGAAGACTTGCCTGGAACCTGCGCGCGTAAGTACGGCGAGCAGCACCTCGACTCCACGGAAGGTCGCGCCAGGTTGCTTGTGGGCCTGGTGAAGGAGCACTCGGGCGAGCTCGTCGAGCTGGATCGCAGGGGCTCGGGCTGGGAGGTGCGCGCCGTGGCGCCAGGCTCTGCCAGCGCCGCGCTAACTCAGGGAAGCGAGCAGTGGCTCTGCTGCGACGGCGGCGCGCCCGCGGGGAAAGTGGACGCCGAATTCGGCCATCACTGCAACATTCGCGAGATCGCACTCCACACGGAGGATCAGGCCCGGGGGTTGGCGTCCGGCGTCAGCGCCGGAGATGTCCGGCCAAACTGGCATGCTCAGGCCACCCGCGCGCGCCTAACGCCAGGGGCCCATGGCCTTCGAGTGGCACCGCGCCGGGGCGGCGGTCACTTTGGGAGGGCCCACGCGGGCTCTTGGAAAGCACTTGGCGGGAAAGCAAGTGCACTACTTCTACCGCACACTCCGAATCGTGGCCCTGAAGCGGCCCGAGACCCCCGGGTCGCCAGGCCCTGGCAGCGGCGCCAGCGGCGCGGCGGGAAGCGGGCCCCAGGCGTCGCACGTTCGGGTGCACCTCGGCTTATAAGAAGATCAGCCCATGAAGGAGTGCGCGGCTGCCATCAGCGTTGAGGCGGCGGAGCGCGCGACGGCTTTCCTCTCCGAGGCCGCTCGCTACGTCTATGCCCGCGCCCTGCGGGGCGCGCGCCGCCGCGGCCAGCGCGCTCTTTCCCCCGCGCTCTGCCAGGGAACGGGGCGTCGTCGATGTGCGCGAGGACACGTTTCTTGACGCGGGGCGCCCAGCTCGCGCGCACTGTGTTCGGCCCACTAATTGCAGGCGAGCTCGTTCGCGGAACAGAGATCGCCAGCCCCTTGTTCAGTAGCCGTCGCGCGGCCACCGCGCACCCGCGGCCGATGTTTCGGAGGGGCACGCGCACAGCCATGGCCTGCGCGCCACGCATCTCCCAGGAAAAGGCGGGGCGCCAGGAGCGCACGCGCCGCCGCGAGCGCGCAGAGCGGGGCGGCGCCGCGACAGTCTCTGACAGCGCGCCTTCGCGGGTTCTGCTTCTGCGCAGTCGCAGGGGGAGATGGCCAGCCCTTTCTCATGCGGGCGAAGCCCTCGCGCGCGGTCGCGCGGGCGCCGCCGGACACGCGGGGCCAGGGCGCCCCTGAGGGCGGGCAGCTCTCGGCAGCGCTGGGAAGCGGCCCAGACTGGCGAGAGCCAGGGCGGAAGCCACTGGCGCCACGACAAGACCGACAGTGACCAGATCTGGCGCCACTCAGCGCCTTCTCGCGGCACGCTGGAGGACGAGCCCCAGCGGCAGCAGGGTTGCGCCAGGCCCTGGCGACGACGACGGCGAGGACGACGACGATGACGACGGAGATGATGACGACGATGCCGGGACTGCTGGCGGCCACGGGGGCGGCGGCGCTCATGGCCATGCCGACGGCGGGCGCGACGACGACGACGAGGGCGACGACGACGACGCAGTCGGCCGCCCGCTTCGCGGCACCAAGCTCTGCTAGCGCTCCGAACACATGTCGGATTGCAGTGCGTTTTTTCTGATTCGAGCGCGCAGCCGCTAGAGCACGCGCGACTGGGCGAGGCTGGCATCGCGCCGCGGTGCAGTAGCATGAACAAAAGCAAACACTCCACATGTCCACCGCCATCGCACAACGCTGCCATCGCCACCACCACCACCGCCACCACCACCACCACTTACCCTTACCACCAACATTACCAAATATATAGATAAATATATAGATAAAAGTGGATAGAGAGATAAATAGCTACAGAGGTGGGTAAAGAGGCGGATGGATAGATAAAAGGGTGGATAGAGAGGTGGCTAGGTAGATGGATACATAGATGGATCGATAGATGTGGATAGAGGGGGTAGGTGGATAGATAGGGAGGTGATAGATGGATAAAGCGATGGAGGGAAATGGAGATAAAGAGGTTGGGCAAGTAGATACATAGCAAGATATGTATATATTTCTATAACTACAAACAAAATAATGAGCGAGCAAAGAGCTGCCACGCACTCTGCTTTGCAACTGGCAAATAAATATGACCCACTTCCGATGGCTGTTATACAGTATGGGGAAGGCAAATTAAAGCCACCTGTTTACGCCATCTGCGTCGCAGCTTGGGCAGAGAGAAATGGGCGCGACCCACGGCGCCCGCCGACACCAAGTAGCGCGCGAAAAAATACACGCCACTTGCTTCGCCCGCGGCCACCAAGCAAAGCGCGAACAAATAGAAATCATTTACGACCGCGTGCTGCCACCGAAACCGGGCAGGTAAGTAAATGCCACCTGATATCGCCCGATGCGCCCCCGCGCGGCTACAAGCATAAAATTGCGCTTTACTTTGCACGCCGCCACCAACGAGCGAGCGGGCACCGACATCCCACTCACTTGCTCCGAGTGCAAAGGAGCACGACAGGCAAACAACTACGACCTACGATCGCTTGCTGCCACAGAGCAAGGGGCAAGTGCATAAATGCCAGCAAACAAAAGCCAGCTCCACAATCGCGCGGCTGCAAGCAAGTAAATGCCAGTTGCTTGCTTCTGGGCTTAAGACACAGCGCCAGCATGTATACATTGCCTGCGCACGCCACTGCGCAAGTAGTGGGCGGGCAAATAAATGAGATGCACTGCGGCCTGCTGCCAGCAAGCAAGGGCCTGCCACCGCTTTACCACGCTGCTGCCAGCGAGTTGCATACGCCACTGCGTCGAGCCTCCGCCGCCAACGCCGCGACAGCTCCAGTTCCCCCAGTAGGCGGCACGCGCGCCACAAGTCGCCAGGCTATGCCAGCGGGAAGCAGGGGGTGAGCACGAGGGGCAGGGCGCGCCGCAAGTCGCCAGGCTCTGCCAGCGGGAAGCGGGCGGCGCAGGGCTTGCGAGCGCCAGCCCGCTGCAGGCGTCTAAGGCGTTCGGCATGGGAGGGCGCCCGCGACCGAGCGGCGCTGGCATCGCGCCACGGCGCGCCAGCATGCGTAAGACACCACGTCACATCGCTTCGCCCATGCCACTGCCGTGGGCGAGGCACTCTGGCCACCACCACCGCTACCGCCAGCGCCACCACCACCACCAGCGGCGACCACCGCAGCCACCTCCAGCAGCCACCGCGAGAGACGACCATGACCACCACTGCCACTGCCAGCACCACCCCCGCCACCATCGCCACCACCAGCACCACCCCCACCACCGCGCCCACCACCACACCCACCGCAGTGACCACGAGCCGTCCAGCAGTAGCGCTGTCATTGTCAACGTCGTCACTGTCAGCGTCGCTGCCGCCTCACCATCGCGACCGCTATTACAACCACTACGGTTACCATTGCGACCACTGGCACCACCGCCGCGCTACCAGCCCAGCTCTTTTGGCGAGTCCGGTCGGGCCACGCCGCCGCCGATGGCCAGCGCCTTTGCAGCTCCGGACAAACGCTCTGCGCCGCCAGCGGCTTCCTCTGCAATCGCCCAGAAAGTGCACCTGCAAATTGAACTGCGATTGGCGATGTCAGGGCTTGCTGACGTGGAGGTGTCCGAACTGGGGCACGCAGATCGCCACGTGCCTGCTCGAATCGGGCGCGCACCACGAGGCCTGGCGCAGCCAGTGGGCAGGCTCGCCGGAGCGCCCGCGGCGAAGGCAGCCTCTGGCATCCCGCAGCGCCTCCAGTTGGAGATGGCTATGAATCGGGCAACGGGCCCGCGCGTTTCGGCGCGCACACGTGCCCGCCGAGTGCTCACGAAATTGCTGGCGGGCTTCGCAGGGCACCACTTACCGAAGCCACCGCCCTGCAGCGTAGCAGTTGCGCAATCCTCTGAGGCCGGCGCGCACGATGACCCAAATGTGGGCCAGACGGCACTGATCGCAATCGGGCGCTTCACAAGTGGTCGTCTGTGGCGGCACGACGTCGCCGCCCACCAAATTGCCGCTCACGCTACGAAGAACAAGTCTGTCTTGTTCAACGCCCCGGGGCCGCATGGCACATGTGCCTTCGGCGGGGGCCCGCGCTTCGCAGCGACGGCGTTTGCGTGGGCGCGCGCCCATGCGGCGCGCAAGTAACTGAGCAGTCGCGCAAACCTGGGTTTCTGGCACCCACTGGCGGGGCAGCCGAGGCTCCGCCAGGCAAGCCGCTGGGCACGGAGGCCCAGCAACTACGAATGGCGCGCGCAGCCTGGCGGCAGCACTACGGCCGAAAGAACCAACGCGGCCAGAAATGCGTGACTCGGCCTGGCCGTCGCAGAGGGGGGCGCCGAGCCAGCGTCTGGAAATGCCGCTGGCGCGGCACGCTCGGCGCCCAGCACGCAGGCAGGCCTCGCGCCATATGCTTTCGCCAAATATGTGCGCTTCGACCGTTGCAGGCGCAGCGGAGGGCGCGAAGGACAAAGACAGAGGTGTAGGCGAGGCCTTGCCAGGCCTGCGCGGGCCGATGCTTCGCGAAGCGCAAGCTCTGAGTCGAGTCGACGCGGCGCAGCGGCGGCACGGGGCCGCGCGGCTGAGTGGCACCAAGCTCTGCCAGCGCTCCGAACACAATGTTCTTTCTCGAGCGCGCAGCCGTTAGAGCACGTTCCACCAAGTGACGCTGGCATCGCGCCGAGGTGCACCAGCATGGACCAACAACCATCAAGCCACGTGGCCACCACCATCACACAATTCCGCCATCACCACCACCATCACCGCCATCACCACCACCAGTCACCATCATCACCAACACCACCAGATAGATAGATATAGAGAGATCGATATATAGTTAGATAGATGTATATACAGATGGACGTAGGGATAGATCGATGTATAGATGGATGTACAGATAGACAGGTAGATAAGTAGACAGAGCGACAGATATATATATATATATATACACGTAGATGGTTGCCCCGATGGTTGCACCTCTGGTTGCCCCGATGGATAGGCAGATAGATAGACAGATAGGTAGATAGCCAGACAGACAGGTACATAGACACGTTGGTGACAGGATAAATAGACGGAAACTAGGTAGATAGATAGTTAGATAAGTAGATCGGTGAATAAATGTTTTGGAAGAGAACTAGGTAGATAGACGGACAGATGTGCACTGCAATCCCCCGCCACCACGTGCAGAACAACCCCCCGCAGTTGCGTCGCTACCATAGCCACTGTGGCCCAAGGCTGCCAAGGTTTCTTATCTCGGCGCCCCCCAGCGCAGCGGATGGGCAAGGCATCGTGGTTTCTTTTTCTGACAGTTGTCGCGCCGGATGGCTCTGCAACCTTTGCCGCGCCGACACCAGGCTCTGCTGGTGCTGCGGCAG